GGGAATGTAATTGAAGGTCAAATCAATAGCCAGATTTTAACTTTTGAGAACTTGTAGATGATTTTGAAAATAAATTGGTCAATTTGAAGCAAGATGAAAAAGGACCTTATTGACCTTGAGAAGGTCATTGAAAGTCAAATCTTTTTTGACCTTGGGAATGTAATTGAAGGTCAAATCAATAGCCAGATTTGAATTTTTGAGAACTTGTAGAAGATTTTGAAATAGAAAATTAGTCAATTTGAAGCAAGTTGAAAAAATACCTTTTTGACCTTTTTTGACCTTGAAAAGGTCATTGAAAGGGCAAATCTTCAATATAAAGTCAAATTTGAACTTTTGAAAACTTGTAGATGATTTTGAAAATAAATTGAAGTTATTGGAAGTTGTAAGAATTTGTTACAGATGCCAATCACCAACCACCGACTGCCATAAAAAAAATGGAGACCATAACAATTGTCACCACTTTTTGGTGGTGATATAAAAACAGTACATGAATTTGAATGCCAACAGGCTTGACTCATACTAATGTTTCATGCTATACAAAGTGAACAAAAGAACCACAAGTAACGTTCTAACTCTAAACAATATGAAAATACAATATATGTAATACAATCATATTATGTCACATTATTTTGACAACATATTCTGATTTTAGGAGTTCAATGAAGTGGGGTACAGGTAAGGAAAATCAAATACTTGACACAAATTGACACTATAGATTTTAAGATATATCTACTGAATCAACCAAACCGGATCAATTTATCAAAATAAGGCCTATAGCTAAAGAATAAGGCATATTGTTAAAAATTAGGCCTATTTGCAAGCCCAAATTATATTAGAATAAGGGGACACAGGTCAAACACAAAGCTTTCTAAACACTGCTAATACTTGTTTTTTTATTCTTGATTTCAAATATGTAGTTGACTTTATAATTAAAGGTTGTGGTCAGATATTGGATTTGTCATCAATTAACCGTAATTGTGGTGCTGAAGGGTCATTACAGAACGGAACCTTTCATTAGAGTAAGGATTCATTAGTACCTTGTTCTATCACTATGACATCATTATATTCATGGTTAAAACAAATGATTTAGAAACTTTATAATCAAAGGTAAATGACATATTGAGCTGTTAGAATGTTTGTCATCAATTATTCTTAGCTGAGATGATGGGGTCATTATTTTCATTACTTAATCAACTTTTCATTAGGTGTAGAATACTATGACATCATCATACACATGTATCCATGGTTACGACAATTGATTTAAGAGAGTTACATTATCCCTATATAATTCGAAAAGATCCAACAAAATCACTATTTTTATACTTCTTTGTACATAAATCCAAAATCAAATCGTGCTTCATGGTTCAGTTAAATGTAAAGCAGGATGGCCTCTTTCCTCTTTTCATTCTTTAACACCTGTGTCAGACAGTGGCAACCTTACTGTGCTGCTACGGTGATATGGCAACTAGCAATGCACAAGGTTGCTGGCAAACATAATAATAAAAGCAACGCGAGAATGTCCCAAAAATTGCATAAAGCCACATTCTTACTGTGATCTGTGCGATTATATCTTGTTCTCAAATTTCAAATTTCAGTTTTTAGTTTCGATTGCCTATTATCACTCAGCTGACTTTGGACTAAATTTCCCTCAACTCTGAAGGGATTAACATGCAAATGAACATGCTCAAAACAAACACTGAAACTCGGATATCATTGGTAACCATGTATACCACACAGGACAACATTTGGTGTTTCTACCATGCCTTCACCGTGCTTATTGCAAACTTGACCTGCTTTGAGACTATTTCCAGGCACTGTCGCAGCGTCATTTTGACAGGGGTGTTACTTAAATACTGTAATAAACTCAATATGATAACAGTCATGTTACAAGAGGGAAGATGATTCAGTTAAGTCACAACATTATAATGCTTCTGTAATGATACAAGTGTATACTCTGACCAACTTGAACTTTAAGTTAATTCCATGAGGAAATTCCAAGCAATACAATCTAATTTTCCCGCAGAGTTCAAGGTAAATGCTTAAGATGGATTTAACACTTTGCAATTCCAATCAATGAAATGCTAATAGAAGATGATAAGAAGCACATAGAATACTTTCTAATGTCACTGTTGAGAAAAATGAAAAAGGAATAGCAATTAAAAAGCTAGAAAAACAGCTACTCCAGAGTATCAGATCTCACCAAACAAAACACATCTAATCAAACAATTATCATTTTGAACATTTCATGACAGAAATAGTATTGTCTCCTTTTGGCAAAATCTCAACCCATTGTATTGTATTTTGTTTTGAGCAATACCTCTTGGGTATGTCCCGTATATACGGTCGCAATTTACGTAATTAACATGGAAGATAGACCCAGAAACCCCTCCTTGAAGGAGCCCTGTGTTCTTTTATGTGCACTTATACATAGACATATAAGTACACAGCACAACCCTTTGTACGAGTTGCGGACCACTCAGTCAAACACCCTGAAGAACCTCAAGCAATTTAGCAAATTTAGTGTTGCCTGAACCGGGGATCGAATCCGGGACCTATTGTGTAAGAGGTACATGCGCTACCGCTGAGCTACACGGGTGGACATTAAATGACACCATATTAGAAATAACTTCTCCAACAGAGGTCATATGCCTACAAGGCATCAAATTGAATTTGTCTTACAAATTCAATAAATGAATTTTGAGTTACATTGAATCATATTTCTCCTAAAATGGCAGCCATTTTGAATTGAGCAGCCACATTGGAAATTAATTCATAATTAACAACTGAGGTCCAATTTCAATATGAATTCCTATAAAATTGAGATGGCAACCATTTTAAAACTGTTGGCTATTTTTAAAAAATTCCTTTTTAGATGTTTTAGATGTTGGACTGATGGTCAGCTTCTCTATATCACTCAAGAACTACGCTTGTAGTGTAATAATGATGAAGCCAATGATATTCTTTCCACTGACACGCACTCAACCTAGTATATTGTGGGATTTTTAATAATTTACCGAACATCGGATCGGTTTTTTTTATGTAACATAGATTTACTGAAGCTGAGCGATCGTATTGTCATCGGTGCCTTATCTTTCCAAGTTTGGTGAGTTTTAATCTAGATATAACACCTATTCATAGTGTATCAGATAGAGTTTAGTGTAGAGATAGCTTTGGATTCAATAATTTAGCCCATATAGATCTTATATTAACTGAAAACAAGTTCGTAGATTTCAAATTTTCTCTGATTCAAGCTTTTCAATATGGCGATTTCTACGTGTATTTGTATGTAATATGCATGTTGTTTTTCCTCATATCTTATTGTTAAACTTACGTGAGGTATCTATAACGTTTCATTTGGGGTTTTATTTGATAATGGGGCGTTTATTCAATTTCATGGCATTTTCTCGGGGTTTCATTTTAACTTCATGGTAAATCTCGCTGGGCGTCTACGTGCAGAATCTCATCTAGGCACTTGGATGTTTACTGAATCAGCCGACGGCCTTGGAATAAATTAGAATAATTAGGCACTCAGCAACAGAGCTCAACCAATCAGATTGCTTCATTTGAATTTACCGCCAACTTAAGTTGTATTTTCCCATAATGCAACCTGAGATGTCTGGACTTTAGCGTGAGATCGTGACCTGTAAATCAGAGTAAACCAAGACTTGGCAGAGGAAACACCTCGTCAGTTGGTATCATTTTATGTGGTAGCGTGATCGATTTGAATTGAGAACTATATTGGACAATCTACAGTTATTTGGATTATTTGCTGCAGTTTTGCATTCGTTTTTGCATTCGTTTTTGACTGGGCGAGTTACAAGAAGATAACAGCCGGTTTTGGGTGAGTTGGCAATTTGATTATTGAGTTTGACGCCATATTGCCGTCCGCCATTTTGATTTCTTCTTCCCAGAGTTCCCTGCGGTCGGCCATCTTTATTTTTTACGGAAGTGACGCCATTTTAAGGAGTGATTCCTTCTCTGAGTAGTTACAACTCTTGTCTAATCTCAGTTTGATTGATATTCGAGAGTCGCGTCTGCTCCGAGAGGTCACTGCTCCGAGTTATTACCCCTCCAACCATTTTAAGAACAATTTTTCCTCCGATTTACATTGGCTTTGAGTAGGTACGACTCTTGTCTAATCTCAGTTTGATTGATATTCGAGAGTCGTGTCTGCTCTGAGGACTGTCAGCTCTGAGTCATTACTACTCCATTTGCCCCGAGGATCGCCAGCTCCGAGTAATTATGGCTCTTGTCTAATCTCAGTTTGATTGATATTCAAGAGTCATATCTGCTCCGAGGACTCACTGCTCTGAGTCATTACTCCTCCATTGGCTCCGAGAATTGCCAGCTCCGAGTGATTACTCCTCCAATTATTTAAGTGTTATATCTCCTCTGAGTTATATTTGGTCCGAGTAGTTACAGCTCTGTCTAATCTCCGTTGTGATTGATATTCAAGAGTTGTATCTGCTCCGAGGATTGCCAGCTCCGAGTGATTACTCCTCCATCTAGTTGAGAGCCATACCTACTCTGAGGACTCACTGCTCCGAGTGCTTACTCCTCCATCTATTCTAGAGTGGAATCTGCTCTGAGGGTTGAGAATACAACTCCGTCTAATCTCAGTTTAATGATCGATATTCGTGAGTTGCTTCTTCTCCTCCTCCGAGTTATTGATGATCCGAAATTGATACAAGTTGCTGAACTTGATGTACCCTCCGAGGTGATTTGACTCCTCCAGAAGTTAGATACTGAGGTTACACTACCGGAACCAAGGTATTTCTGTGTTGCAAGGTTTATTCCATTGGAGCCAAGGTTACTCCACCGGAACTAAGGCACTCCCAGATCGAGAAGTAGCAGCTCTGGTCTAATCTCACCATCTGATTGACATTCCAGAGGTGTTATTTTGTAGAGGGTGACGAGGTTTCTCCTGTGAAGTGGCGACTCCCCGAGCAGAAGATACTCCCGGAGCCTAGACCCCTTCCACGAGACAGTTTTATAGAGACGAGAAGACTCCTGGAGTGGAAGGTATTCCAATAGCTAGGGTCTTGTACAAAAGAAGAGGTTTCTCCTGTGAAGTGGCGACTCCCCGAGCAGAAGATACTCCCGGAGCCTGGACCCCTTCCACGAGACAGTTTTATAGAGACGAGAAGACTCCTGGAGTGGAAGGTATTCCAATAGCTAGGGTCTTGTACAAAAGAAGAGGTTTCTCCTGTGAAGTGGCGACTCCCCGAGCAGAAGATACTCCCGGAGCCTGGACCCCTTCCACGAGACAGTTTTATAGAGACAAAATAACTCCTTGAGCCAAGGTTACACTTCCGGAACCAAAACTCCTGGAGCCCTGATTCCTCCGAGGTGAAACGACTCTGAGGGACAGCACAGTGAAGATTCTTTGGAGCATTTATAACTTGGGTCTAATCTCAGTTTTGATTGACATTCCTGAGTTATTCCTCCTCCATAGATATCACATTGAAGCCGTGATATAGACAAGACAATACCTAGAGCAGAAGGACCTCCTAGAGGGTGAAGATAGTCATAGGAGCAGATCCTCCTCCTCTTACAATTATTCAAGAAGGAACAATTACAAAGACATTCAAGATCTATATAGACATTTTGAATTTATTTGTATTATTATTTTACATTGGAATAGAGTATAAAATCCCTGTATACTATTGTTATTTTGCCATCTTGAAAGGTAACTGCCGTACCACCAAATTAGGTCGGCACCCAAATACAACACCTCAAAGATCCCTTATATCGTCCCTGGCCTTTCTCTGAAGTTGAGATACAGGGTACTCCTTGGAAACGTCCCGGCGCGACATTGGTGGCCTCGGTGGGATCTGTTGTCTTTAAAAGATGGCTGAGATGTCACAGAAGTTGGAGCGTACCCCAGAGATAAGGGGTCAAGAGAACTCCAAGCTCACTGAGATGATGATGACTGGCTCTCGGGGAAAAAGGGAACAAGAGGAAGCAGTGAGGACAACCCCACCAGTCGACAAGTTTCAATTGGAGTCTACAGTGCTCTTCAAAGGAGACGGGTTGGCTCCTTATGTGCATGCAGGTGATGACACAATTCCTTTGGATCCAGATGACCCCAGAGCTGAGCGGACTCCAGAGAGAAGATTCCAACAACTACCCACAGAGAGGCAGATGAGGATGCATCCTGGTCTTGAAGGGACTACTGGGTACTGGTCTTCAACTCAGCTCCAGAGAGATGTTCGTACACCCCCTGGCCTTGGAAGAGAATTCGGAGAGGGAGCGAGGCTGAGACATAGAGGGCAGTATCCTCTTACCTCCACACTGATACCAGAGAGGCAGAAGGATGAACAAATACTCCTCGAGAGACAGTTGGACTCCACACAATCCCAGGTTATGGCTATACAGGGGAGCCTTGGAACGCTCAGATCAGATGTTGGGAGAAGGCTGCAAGTTCAATCTGAAGAGATGGTCAGTCTCCATGTTGAACTCGGTAAACTGGCGAACGTGGTGAACCAAGGTCAAGAGGAGGCTAAGAAGAGCAGAGAAGGAATGGAGGCTTTCTTGAAAGAGATGAATGCTACCCTAGGGCAGATGAGCCAAGCTCCTCCACCGGTGTCCCGGATGGTGAATCCCTCTAGGGTTGAGATGGTAGGCGATCCGAGATCAGCTCTTCTGACTCAACCTGAAAGAAGTCCAGGAGAGATGTTTAACCGAGCAGGGATGCCTCCTTATTCCCCAAGATTCCATCTGGAACCAGATGTCCAAATGCAGCAACCTAGATGGTCACAAGATGAAGAGTCGAGATTGCTCCCAGAAACGACAATGCTGCTAGAGCCCAATAGAGTCTTTCTGAAGAGTAATGGTGATCGTATAATAGATGAATCTGGGTTCAAGCAGAGAATGCCTGCTCCAGAAGATGATCCACATTCAATAACTAGATGTAGTCGAGATGTTGATTTGCAGCGAGATAGAAATGCTCTGCCTCCAAAGACTAGAGGACATGAGGCTCCTCAGCTCACAAGGTTGGATCCAAACCAGCTCCCTCGCATGTCTGGAGAGGAACCACTTACTGGTCGATGGAATCAATCTGGAGCCAGATTACCTCGAGAGCCTAATGTCAAGGCAGAGCCAGAGAAGCTCAATGTGTCCAATACTCATAGAAGGGCTACCACTGGGGGACTTCAACAAGAACCAACCACATCCCCTAGAGTGGAAGTTCCTCCAGAGAGCCTCATCCTACAGCGGAGGAAAGGAGAGCAGAGAGCTCCAATAGTAACCATGAGCAGGCAATGGTGAAGATAACAGAGAAAGCCATGGAGATGTGTGGGAAGGCTTTGGATTCCATGAAGGAGGGAAGGAAGACTAAAATCAAGCCAACCCAACTATTTGATGGCAAAACTCCCTGGCTTGACTACAAAGCCCACTTCCAGAATTGTATTGAAAGCAATAGATGGAATGACGAGGAAAAGAGGCAGAATCTCACCAACCAATTGAGGGGTGATGCTCAGCAGCTGGTCCAAGAGTTAGAAGAAGGACACACTTATGGTGATCTTTTAGAGGCCTTAACCAAAAGATTTGGACCAGGGGACAAAGCCTCTATGTACGAAGCCGAGCTTAACACTAGAGTCCGGAAGCTGAAGGAGTCCTTACAGAGTTTGGGGCAAAGTATTAGGAGGTTAGCTGCCTTGGCCTTTCCGGAGATGCCCCGTTCCTCTCAGGATAGATTGGCAAGACGGAGCTTCGAAAATGCTATCACCGATGATGAAGTGAGAGCCGCAGTCCATCGTAGGGATCCAAAATCTCTCGACCAGGCAATTGAAGAAGCCCAGAAGGAAGAAGCATACCAGGAGTCGGAAAGGATCCGCAAGGGATTAAAGCCAAGACAGAGGGATTATATCTCTGCTGTTGCTAGTGATCCTTTGGAGGAGAAACTTTCCAAAATGATAGAAGGAGTCAAAACCGAAATGAAGAAAGAAATAGGAGAGGCTGTGAAGATTTTTAAAGAGAGAGGAGAGCTCCAAACACCTAAAGTCTTCACTTGCAAGAAATGCGGAGAAGAAGGACACACAGTGAGAAGATGCCCCTTAGTTAGGTGTTATAATTGTTCCGACCTCGGACATTTCGCTAATGACTGTTCCAAGCCAAAGAAGAATCGGGATCCAGATGGGAATCGATCTGAGAGCAGTAAGAGCTCTACAGTAAATCCAGTCCGTTTCTTGGATATAAATGGGTTGGAAGTGACGAATCCCAGACGAGCTGAAACTGTTCGAAAGATAGTTGCTGTAGTTGGATTGTGCGGGGCTACTATGGAATTTTTGATAGATACGGGAGCAGTGGTGTCTCTGATGAGCTTACACAGCTTTAACCGAATCCACTATCGGAGGAGGCCACCTCTGAAGCCAGCGAAGGATGTGCTTGTTCAGGCAGACGGTTCTCCTATTGCTGTATATGGGTCCTGCAACATTGAAGTAGATTTAGATGGGAGAGCAACTCCATTGGAGATGGTTGTTGCAGACATCAGCCAAGATGGGATTCTGGGAACTGACTACCTCCGTACTAGCAGGGCAGTGATCCATTATGGTTCTCTTCAGATGTGCTTTCAAGATCCTGAGGAGGAGTTAAATTCGGCTGTACAGGAAGACATACAGAGTTGTAAGAAGTCAGCTGAGTCAAGAGTCTCCATCGCTCCTGAACAAGATACCAAGAAGAGAAAGCGAGGAGAAAAGGTGTCTCCAACAAAATGCGAGGAGGAAAAAGTTACTTGCGTGCCAGAGTCAGATCTCGAGGAGGAAGAAGTCCGATATGTATCTGAATCAGATTTTGATGATTCCGAGGGTACGGAGTGCTTGCCTGGACTGAAGAGCCTTCTTGACTCCGATAGAGCCATGACAGCTCCTCCTTCCGAATCACCAGTGGGAGTGTCTATGACTCCGGGAAGAGCGCCACCTGCTCCGAGCAGTCCGTCATCCTCCAAAAGAGATGATGTTTTTGTCTGCTCTATTGAGAAGGAGATAGAAGTGCCCCCATTTTCAGGACGGATGATTACTTTGAGGATAGAGGGTGCAGGAAATTCTTCCATAGATGGAGTACTTGAACAGGTTAACAGAGATGATTTGTCAACCCAGGACTTGGAATTGGTGACTGGTTTGACTCGTATAACCAATGGAATCGGTCCTGCAGAGATATGGAACCCATCAGCCCTTCCTCTGCACTTAGAAGAAGGAAGACTAGTAGGACAATTCACCGCAACCATTGATGGGGTGTACACTATGGCTGAGCAACCTGGAGGAGTGAATCACCTATCATGGAAAAGAGTTGACTCAGTTCAAGATTGTACATGTCGGGAAAGGGCCATAGATGAGCAATCCCAGCTTTTGAACGTGGAACTCCAGGATGACTTGTTAGGAGGAGCTGATGAATCTCCAGAAGAGAGGGCCCTTGACTCCTCTCTGGAAGAAGAGGAGATACCAGAGTATCTACGAGAGCTATTGAGGAGGAGCACCGAAGGTTTGGAAGAGGACCAGGTAGAAACAGTGCGGAGGCTATTATGCTCTTACAAGGATGTGTTTGCTGCTACTGATAGAGACCTTGGAAGAACCACTTGGGCCCGTCATACTATACCAACAGGGGATGCGGAACCTATTAAGCAGTCATACAGACGTTTGGCCCCCGGACGCCAAGAAGAGGTTGATTCTCAGATAGAAGATCTTCTTGAGAGAGGAGTAATTGAAGAGAGTCAGAGCCCGTGGTCCTCTCCTATAGTACTAGTCAGAAAGAAAGATGGGAAATGGCGTCTGTGTGTTGACTATCGGAAGTTAAACTTGGTAACAAGGAAAGATGCCTTTCCACTTCCAAATATTGCAGAGACACTTGACCTCATGGGAGCTTGTGATTACTTCTCATCGTTGGATCTTTGCTCGGGCTATTGGCAATAAGAGGTTGAACCCGCTGATAGAGAGAAAACTGCATTTTCAGTGCGAGGAGGACAGTACCAGTGGGTCGTGATGCCCTTTGGGTTAACAGGGGCCCCTTCAACTTTTTCCCGATTGATGGAGAAGGTGCTGCATGGCCTCACACTGAGAACATCCCTCGTTTACTTGGACGATGTGATTTCATATGCTGACACTTTTGATGTAGTTGTGCAACGTCTAGAGGAGGTGTTTGGAAGATTTCGAGAGGCTGGATTGAGACTTAAACCCTCCAAGTGTTCCTTATTTCGGAGGAAAGTCGAGTTCCTAGGACACGTGGTGTCCCGAGAGGGAGTTGCTCCGAACCCAGCAAAGGTGGAACAAATACTTGAATACCCATCTCCGAAGACGTTGAAGCAAGTTCGCCAGTTTTTGGGAGGAGTATCTTACTACCGCCGTTACATTAAAGATTTTGCCCGGATTGCAGGACCTCTCCATGATTTAACTAAGAAGGATACAGCCTTTAAGTGGACTACATTCTGTGAAGAGGCCATGAATGAACTCAAGCAACGATTGGTTACTGCACCTGTTATGGGTTATCCACAGAATGGTTGTACTTATATACTTGACACGGACGCAAGCCTAGAAGCTTTAGGAGCTGTTTTGTCTCAGGAGCAGGATGGCGAGGAGAAAGTGCTCTACTATGCCAGCAAGAGGCTAAACAGACACGAGAGGAACTATTGTGTGACAAGGAGAGAGTTACTGGCTGTAGTGAACTACACTCGATACTTTAAGCAGTACTTATATGGGGTGAAGTTTCGATTGAGGACGGACCACAGTTCTTTGCGTTGGATGGTCAACTTTAAAGAGCCCGAGGGACAGTTGGCCCGTTGGATACAATGTCTCCAAGAGTTTAACTATGAAGTTGAATACCGACCTGGGTCGAAACACCTCAATGCAGATTTACTGAGCAGAGTTCCTTGTAAACAGTGTACCCATTGTCAGGGAAGATGTGTTACATCCGATGTTGATGAACATTGGGAGTCAGATGCGCTTCACATCTCAGTTCCTGTAGAATGGTCTCTAAAGGCCATTGCTGAAGCTCAGAAGAGAGATCCACAGCTGACAATTATACGTTCTCTCCTGGGAGCTGGAGGTGCTCATAAGTCTGGTGGGGCAGAGGATACTCCTGAGCTGAGAGGAGGATGTGCTCCTCAACCGGATTGGTCTCGTATCCAGTCAGAGGGGGTACCTGTAAAGAAGTTGTGGATGCAGTGGTCTAGATTGAGAATCGAGGAGGATGTGCTCTGTCGGGTATGGGTCAGTGTCATGGCTCAGTGATTCATCTGCAAGTAATTGCTCCAAGAGAGTTGCAACAGCGAGTGCTTGAACTTGGCCATACTGTGCCCACCGCGGGACACTATGGAGTGAAGAGGACTCTTGCTAGATGTAGAAGAAGATTTTATTGGGTGACAATGCAACAAGATGTGAGGTCTTACTGTCGATCCTGTGAAATATGTGGAGCTAGACGGAATCCACCTCGGAAAAAGAAAGGTGTATTACAACAGCTGACCGTTGGAGCACCTATGGAGCGTTGGGGCATTGATGTGTTGGGCCCGTTTCCTGAAACCCCAAGAGGGAACAAAGTGATCTTAGTGTGTTCTGACTACTTTAGCAAATGGCCCGAGGTGTTTCCCCTCCCCAACCAATTAGCTACTACAGTTGCTTCAACTTTTGTGAGTGAGGTGTGTTGTAGATGGGGAATTCCCAAAGAACTGCACTCCGACCAGGGTAAAAATTTTGAGTCAGCAGTGTTTGATGAGATGTGCCGTTTGATGGGAATTACCAAAACTAGGACGACTCCGTTTCATCCACAATCCAATGGGCTAGTGGAGCGATATAACCACACTTTGGTTGATAATATTGTTAAGTTGTTGGCCCCTGCGTATAACCAAGATAACTGGGATCTTATGATACCTGTTGCCTTACTAGCGTACCGCACTTCTTGCCATCAGTCAACTGGAGAGACTCCTGGGATGATGATGATGGGTAGAGAACTTGCAACGTCATTAGAGCGACTCATTGAGGTGCCACAGCTCCTTCAACCAAAGACAGACTTTGCCCAGGAGTTGAGACAGAATATGATGGATGTTCATGATCGGGCTAGGAAGCTTCTGGATTTGGCTGCTAAAAGACAGAAGGCTGAATATAACCGGGGTGTAACAGAGATGGAGTATGATGTTGGGGATGCTGTTTGGCTCCAGAACAAGAGGAGGAGGAAAGGTTTCTCCCCTAAATTGCAACCCCGTTGGATTGGGCCGTTCCAGATTGTGAGCAAGTTATCCTCTGTTGTATATCGAGTTAGGGAGAGGGGAACTGGACCTCCTCGGGTGGTTCACTTCAACATGATGAAGCCATATGAATGTGTACTGCCTTCCAAGTGGCCAAAGCTTAAGATTCCCATGACTGACTCTGAACAGATGACACAACCTTTGCCGGATCGACCTTTGGAAGATGAGTCTATTGATCTTCAAGCAGAGGAGTGTAGCCCAGCGAGACTTACCAAAACCAAGGGGTCAGAGTTTAAGAGGGAGGGCAATGATGGTTGTAATGTTAGGCCCAAGCGTTCTGGGAAAAAGCCTGCTTACTTAAAAGATTTTGTTCTTCTTTCAGGAGCAATGACTCGAAGACGAAGTGAATCTAGGACAGTGGGAGGAGAGATGGTTCTACAAGGTATTCTGACTCGAGGGCTAAGGACACCTCCTCAAGGACCAAGTCTGAAGAGAGGAAAGACACCCACTCTAAGACCAAGGCTATGGAGAAGAGAGATTCTGCCTCCTACAAACCTGATGAGAGGAGAGATGGCCCCTCCAAATCCAAGCCGGATGAGAGGAGAGATTCTGCCTCCTACAGACCTGATGAGAGGAGAGATGGCCCCTCCAAATCCAAGCCGGATGAGAAGAGAGATTCTGCCTCCTACAAGTCTGATGAGAGGAGAGATGGCCCCTCCAAATCCAAGCTGGATGAGAAGAGAGATTCTTCCTCCTCCAAAGCAAAGTCTGATGAGAAGAGAGATTCTTCCTCCTCCAAAGCCAAGTCTGATGAGAAGAGAGACTCCTCCTCCAAATCAAAGACCGAAGAGAAGAGCAATTCCTCCTCCAAAACAAAGCCCGAGAAGAAGAGTGATACCTCCTCCCAAACCCAGGGTGCTGAGAGTAAAGAGGACTCCTCCAAGACTTTGAAGGAAGATGGTGGATCAGAAGAACAGTCCATTGGTTTTCCTCCTTGCAAGAAACTCAAAACCAATGCGATAGTCAGCACTGCGTCAAATGTGAAATTCCAAGCAATTTCTAGACGTGCAAAGATAGTCTAGGAACTCCGCGTATCTAGAGATTCCAAGACGTGTCAAGAGGTGCAAAGACCTCGCGTGTAAAAAGCGTGTCAAGAGTTTTGATATCTCTTTGCACAGCCTTATCAAAACAAACAGTATAATTAGACCGGCCATATGTTGTTATGCCCTATAGTCGCGCTTAATTATACTTTACTAGGATTGGAATATAACAATCATTTCAATTTTGTGTTAATAATAATTTGTGTTTTTTAAATCATTATCAAAATAAAATTAATTTAAAAGTATGCGTGTGCGTGTAAGTATAGGCAATAGCTTAGTCGAAATGAGTAGATGTGTGCAGATGGAGATCGCCTATGTATTTTGCTAAATCTGACATTTTTACAGGATCATGTTAAAGATCAAATGAAAACAAGAAATGTGTTTTTCTTAGGTTTATCTACCCTGATTTCGAGTGATTTTAACTTGGACGCATATTCCTAGATATTAAAACAGTTTGAATAATTAACAAAGTCCACTTTGAACCGTGTCAATCAAATTGTCAAATATGTAGATAGCACATGCAGGCCCGAATACAGGGGGGATAGATTGGTTCTAGCGACCCCCCCCCCCTCCGTGACCAAAATTGCATTTTTTACCCCATACTGAGCACCTTTTAAATTATTTTGCTCATTTTTGAACTAACATTGCCAAAAGTAAACTCCCCCTGGAATTTCTTAAAAAAGTAACCCACCCCTTGGCAAATCCTGGCTATGGGTCTGAAACGCCTGAAACATGCTCTGATATAATGAGGCATATTCTGTGATCTGAGCATATCAGATGGGAAGAGTTATGAATGTCAATAAGTGTGATTGTTATCATGTAATCATCTACCTTAATGTCAATACATTACATAATGTAGTAAGGCATTGTACATGTATTTAACAACAGGCACATCCTTCTTCAAAGGACTTCATTTATACTTGTAAAATACCCTTCCAGCGAGGATGCAACAGGCACAGTTACACAAGTTTTATGACCCCAATTAGATGAAATATGAGCTGGGATGAAAGATCTCAAAAATCAAGGGCTGGGAAGATTTGAGATGTCATGGTTTACTATCATGACGCTGAAACATGTGTCGCTTATTGTCACCTGTATTGATCATGATGGGGCGACGGCAGTGCCCCGAGTCTTTTTGATCTGTTTAATCTTATTAGTTACTATTTAAAATTGAATAATTTAGGACCCCGGAAGCAAAACAACTCTTTGTTATGAAAGGAATACACCATGGACAGAACCCCTCATGTAAACCATCTATAAATACCTTTGAAATCAATTTGATTTTCGATCTACATCTGAATCTCAGATGGAGAGTACTCTTTGACAAGATCAACATTTAAAAGTGTAGGAAAGTTTTGATAAAGATGTTTAATAGCTAATTATTCAGACATATTGTTCTTTCATGTTGACGATCATCGAACATAATTGCAATCAACTTCCATGATATTTGCAATTTTGAATTTTTAATTATTTTGAATGCAAATGTACTCAAGTACTATATCCTGAGTTCTGCCCGGATCCCCGAAAACGTTTAAAATCAAACTCGATTATTTAGCTAGACTTCAAAATAAGGGATTCAATAGAAACATGAAATCCATATCACTGTATAAATTGTGGAATTTCTAGTAATTTTTAGACGTGCTTAGCCGGTCTAGAAACTCTGCGTATCTAGAGATAGAGGAGGGGAGAGAGGACTAATTTTATAGCTGAAATTAAAAATAGCTTATGATCTATAAATATAATATATGGTTGTTCTTATAATGAACAACTATTGGTTTAATATCTGATATGTGGACGGATATTTCTTGATTTGGTTTAAAAAGAAACTGAATGTAGGGTTGCAAAAATGAGAGAGACAAAGACGTTCGAAGGGTGGGGGTAAAATTTAATTAAAATCAAGCTGAGACAGAATGAGAATAAACATATCTGTTAGTTGCTCATGTAAACGAAAACAAATTAGAGGGTTCATTAGCACCGCAGACCAGATTTGCAAAATTGGGGGAGTGCATTTTCCCAGGATTTCAAACAATACTATATCTAAAATGTTGCCCCTCATATGCCTGGGTCATATTTGCTCCGATTCATCGGCCGGGGGCCGGCCGATTGAGTGTTTTTTCAAACATGAAAACAATTCTAAACAAAATACTCAATCGGCCGGAGGCCGGACGATGAATTTGAGCAAATGTGAACTAGACATTGCAAATTCCTTCAAAATTGAACTAGAAGTTTCAAATGAAAGCCATTCAAAGCTCCTTTCTTCTTCCTTCTCTATTGGTTAAGCAGGGGGGGGGGGTGCGATCATTCACGAATCGCACCCCCCCCCTGGTTACGCCTATGTGTTAAAACTTTACACAATATCAATATTTAAAACTGTATCTTGTAAGTGGCTTATTAAGCATCAGATCAATCACTAAGAACCCCTCTTATCTGCCGTTTGCGTTTGGAAGGATAAAGACAAAGGGGACGCGGCTACATGTATATCGCGATAACGTGAAATCTTTATGACATATCCCTTCACCAGGGCCTACACCAATATTCTTAACACCACTTATTAAAGGATGCATGCATCAAGTGGAAGACATCATTCAAAAGACATAAACATGACCGGGTCGGTTAGGGAAAGGTTTGCATACGATGCAATTTGTACATGCAAGCTCATTTTTCACATATAAATTAATAAAGTCGATTCCTTGGGAATACGTTATTGGGTTTATAAGCGTAACGAGGAGAAGCGGTGGGTTCGCACCCCCTCCTACAAGCAATAAAAGGTACCATAAGGTAGAGGAAGAAAAGAGCATTAAATTGATTTTTTGTTTGAAGCTTCTAGCTCAGGTTTGAAGGAAGTTGCATCATTTTCGTAAAAATTCAAAACAAATATTTTTTGCCTCATTTATGTCACGATCGCACCCCCCGACTGAAAACCTAAAATATTTTGGTGATTGCATCACCCCTCCCCCCGACTGAAAGCTGGCTACGGCCCTGGGGTTTTATCGAAAACTATATCGTCAACATTTTATCATTATGCGGAAAGTCCAATATGAAATCTTAAATGGTAAATATGTTGCATTTATGGAGGGAATTCCACTGTAAACTATAATGTGAATGTTTGATATGAATACTTCCATACAACCATCAATATCCATTCTTTTGAAATAAGATGTTACAACAAAGGGAATATTGAAAACTACAGTGGTAAGAGCATCTTTCTGACTGCTAATTATGTGTATCAACATTTTGATTGCACCTCAGCTGGAGATTAAATCTTATAATAATTTGATCAAAGGGATTGTAATTTTCCCCAATTCGCTTATCTATGTTACAATCTGTATACTTGTTATATTGTGAGCGGTATGTGTTGATAAACCAAAAAGATATGTTTTTTGGATATCAACATTTAGAAAAAAGTGTAAGATACCATTCTATATGTTTATCTTAGTGTTTAGCATAGGTAAGAATGGGGGGTGGGCTGGCGGGGGTCCGTCTTTGAATAATTCCAAGGGGTTCATATATTATCACAATTTTGCTACAAAATCACTTGGAAAGTGCATGATTTGAAAGATTATTTGGCCAAGGCGTCCGCTATTAACATGAGTATGAATTTTATAAAAAAATTACTTGAATCAAAATCGAAGAATTCCTTGCCCCGTGTGTTCACCATTCACCCCAGGGGTTCACACTCGGCTCAGGTGGGGTACCTTTTTTACATTTGGTATGTCAAGCCAATGGACCCACATTTTAAGACAGATTTTTCCATTTTCAGGTATAAGAATCGGTGTGGAAAATATGTTACCCCTCAATTGTGGTACGGCATTGGTCCCGGGGCATTGGTCTAGTTGTTACACATATCCTTCATTTGAGGTTGTTTTATGATCATTTTACTCAAAGATCTGCCTTCTTCTCGGGGCATTCGATATTTCGAATGGCCTTGGTCTTATATTCTGGATATTTGGTACCCGGGGTATGGCATTGGTTCTATATTTGGATGTTTGACATGGCATTGGTCTTGTGTTTGGACATTTGATATGGCTTTTTGGGGTTTATTTTAGTTTGTATGAGAACACATTTAATGCCCCCCCCCAAATTACAAATCTACATCTATTCTCTCTATCCCAAAGGTGGATCGGAAGCATGAAAAACAGATGCAGACTCGGGACAGTTGCAAGGGGGGCTATAATGGAGAAATTCGTTTTGATTTTGAGTCTAACTGAAATATTTTGTCACAAATATTAATTAAATACGCAAATAGCCTGTTTTATTAAATGAGACTAGGGCAAAAAATCTATTCATTAAATCTAAAGCCTAGACGATATCTTCTGTAATCAAGGTGGTTTTGGTACACTTCCGCAATTATAAAAACAAAAACATAGACTAAGTTATTAATCTTTTGTTATCATATCAGATTAAGTCAGTTTTGTCTCCGATTGTTATGCAGGTGTGTGTATCGACTCCAGTGAACAACATTAAGTGAATCAATCCTTGAAATTCCCAAATTCATTCCAAATTCTGGCCGTTAACCCCCCCCCCCTCCCCCATGTCTCTTAATTACATTTATTTTGCAAATGATATATAAATTATAGATTAAAATATTTCATTTTCGAATTGCACAAAGGGCAACATGTGAAGATAAAACCGCGATCCTAAAGCTACTTGCGAAACAAAGTGGTTTATGGTCCCCAATATCATTATTATATTAATACCAATACAATGTACCTCTATCAATATCATAAATTCATTCCTTTTTAATATCAATAGTCAAACAAATTAAGCAGTATGCTACAGTTGGTTATCAATCGGAGTTCACGATCTATTGATTACTCTTTAATACAAAATTTAACCATTTTAGAATGGGTAACTCACCCCCCCCCCCCGTCCATGTCCATGAAGTGCGTAGACTGACATAATAGTGTCATTTATTAATTAAACATCACTGATTTATGTTTAGACATTCAGTGCGATTATTTCATTTCTTTGTTCAAAAAGTTAAAGCACCAATTAAATACATATTTTTATCACACAAAAGGGGCAGAATACTTGACCTTGTATCAATTCATATCCCGATAATTCTTTACAAGGGAATGTTTCTTATTAAAACATAAGCAGCGCCTAGGCGTCGATTGGGGGGGGGGTCAATCCAGTGTTCTCAGGGTATGTACAGCCAAGTATCCTGTTTATGTAAAAACCCTACGTTCCCGAATCACAATCAGACAATTAATTAGTATATTTGCTGTGTCTAGCAATTGATCATAGAATTAGATGTTGCGAAAACTATGGGAACTTGTACCTGTCTGTTTATGGATAGGCTGGGAAAGAACAGCAGAGAGAATGGTACATTCGATTGAATATGCTTGTTTTGCCCAATTGTGTATTAAAATGCCCCTCATTTATCATATGTATGGTCACAAGTTAAGTCGGCGATAATTTGTATTGACTTAACTTGAAACAAATTACTCCGAAATCCAAATACTCATCGAAAAGTAAGGTTATCTTTATATTAAGCTAATACAAAATAAATATATAAATAGGCCTGATGTATCAGTGTTTTCAAAGTTTATTGCACGTTTTATCCTTGAAACGCCTTTCTTTTTCTTATCATGATATGTATTTCCTTCACTTAGGATCAATGCGTCGATTAGCATTGCCTGTAACTGATTTATATTTTCAAAAGGCGGCATGAAATTGCCAAAATGTTTAAATAAGTCAATGTGTCAGCGTACATACAAAATAGTCTGTTTAATATTTGCTACATGTACTTGTTCCAAACAGTCTGCGAAAGAATGATTAAAAAATATATCAATTAAAAGTATCAGAGAAAATACTTGCAATCGTTAGAATACTGTATGTATTGCTATTGGTAATTAGGTTAGTTGTTTACACATAATTATGTTGTTCAGTGTGCCAAGAGCGTGTCAAGAGATTCCATTAATTGTCACAGGGCGTGTAAAGACTTTTTGACATGGTCTTTACACGTCTTTGCACTGCGTGTGCCAAGAACTGCAAAGAGGTGTAAAGAGTTGAATTCATCGCGTGTCAAGAGGTGTAAATAATTGGCACGTCTAGAAACCCGGCGTGTAAAGACCAGTTTCTAGACGTGTCAAGAGTTGGAATCCCATATTTCACGCAGTGCAGTAAGCCAAAATCATTTGTAGAAGAGGAACAATAATTGCGCACATGCCCCCTTTGTGCCAAGGTCTTCTCTAGGTTTAGTAACTTGAAACGCCATGGGAAAGAAGTTCATGATCTGTCCTTCGATGTGGAAGTGAAGAAGAGTGTTGTTTTCGAGAGCGATGAATGGGATAAGGGTAGTCCTAAGGGGGAGTGTTTTCCTCTCGACCCCCAGTTGACCTTGGATGATACAGACAAGAGGGAGGTTGTGATGGTAGCATCGGTTGATGTTAGGGCTGCGAAGGTCGTTGTGGAAGAAGAACCCATCACACTTGATCTATCCACTGATGAACCAATGGAGAGGATGGAGTCCCCAACCCACCAGATAGAGAGTTCTGAGTCCACAGATACTTCTTCAGACGAAGAAGAATTAGATGAAGGTCAGGAGGATGATTGTACCAACAAAGATGCTCCTCGGGTGGAGGTGGAGGAGTCCCTGAAACTCAAAGGAGATGTTCCTTGCGACAATCAAGATGACCCTCCTGTGCTTGAGGAGACCATAGAACTCCCAGAAGAGGATAGTGGCACTCGAGACAATCCTTCTAAGCTGGAAGAAGGACATAGCCATTCAGATGCTCCTCGTGAGAAGGTGAAGGCTCAACAACAACACAAGGCTAGAGTTAAGAAAAATACTCTTGTAAACCAGTATTCACAAACTGAGATGAGTGGGACTCATATTTGGAACGTCCGTGCAAAAGTCGTAAACAATTATTGGTGCGGACATCACCGTGAGGACATTTAGAGGAAGTACTATGTATGTGTTTTTCTTTAGTGACTATTAAGCTTTATTCAAGAGACTATTTATAGTGTAGTTCATATTTGAGAGACTATGATAGTGTAGTTCAGATAGATTCTGGTGTATGTGGTTCAGAGAGACTTTAAGGATGGGTATTACCTGATAACTTGTGCAATGACTATACTTATCATTCAGGGAGGAGACATAATCTCCCTAGTAATTTTGTATTTATTTATTTTTGTATTTTAGACATGATACATTTTATTTTTGTACAGAGCTAAAATTGCTCACTGTAGTTTATATTATAGACTTGTATAACTTATTTTTGTACACAGCTAAAATTGCTCCCTTTGTAGTGTACAATATAGAGTACTATTTTCTTAATTAATCTGTGTGGGCACCACCAAGATGATGCTTAGATGGACTTAAGTATGTGTTTTCAAAGTATCTATTCTTAGAGAGACTACAATAGTGACGCTCAGATAAATAAAAGAGTCAGTGTTTTGTAGAGTGATCATAGAGTATGTTTTTATAGGAACTATGTTCATGATATTAAGATGGATTATACAGCATGTTTTTATAAGTGATGGACTCTATTTTAAGAGTGAGGTGATCATGGTGTTAAGATGGACAATTTATGATAATTGTTAGTGATTATAACGCAGTGGCGGAGTGAGGAGCCAAGTATGCTCATTGGTATAAATCAGGGAAGAGACAAGTTCTCTCTTTTGTATAATTCAGGGAGGAGACAAGTAGTCTCTCTAGTAATTTATTATTTTTGTATTTTTAAAGTATACTGTAAACATGAAACAAGTAATTTTTGTATAGAGCAATATTTGCTCTTTTTAAGAGTTTATAATATAAAGTTATACTTTTAAGTCATGTGTCCAGTTTGTGATCGTGGGCGATCAACCTTAGTAGGGGGGAGTGTGGGATTTTTAATAATTTACCGAACATCGGATCGTTCAGTTTTTTTATGTAACATAGATTTACTGAAGCTGAGCGATCGTATTGTCATCGGTGCCTTATCTTTCCAAGTTTGGTGAGTTTTAATCTAGATATAACACCTATTCATAGTGTATCAGATAGAGTTTAGTGTAGAGATAGCTTTGGATTCAATAATTTAGCCCATATAGATCTTATATTAACTGAAAACAAGTTCGTAGATTTCAAATTTTCTCTGATTCAAGCTTTTCAATATGGCGATTTCTACGTGTATTTGTATGTAATATGCATGTTGTTTTTCCTCATATCTTATTGTTAAACTTACGTGAGGTATCTATAACGTTTCATTTGGGGTTTTATTTGATAATGGGGCGTTTATTCAATTTCATGGCATTTTCTCGGGGTTTCATTTTAACTTAATGGTAAATCTCGCTGGGCGTCTACGTGCAGAATCTCATCTAGGCACTTGGATGTTTACTGAATCAGCCGACGGCCTTGGAATAAATTAGAATAATTAGGCACTCAGCAACAGAGCTCAACCAATCAGATTGCTTCATTTGAATTTACCGCCAACTTAAGTTGTATTTTCCCATAATGCAACCTGAGATGTCTGGACTTTAGCGTGAGATCGTGACCTGTAAATCAGAGTAAACCAAGACTTGGCAGAGGAAACACCTCGTCAGTTGGTATCATTTTATGTGGTAGCGTGATCGATTTGAATTGAGAACTATATTGGACAATCTACAGTTATTTGGATTATTTGCTGCAGTTTTGCATTCGTTTTTGCATTCGTTTTTGACTGGGCGAGTTACAAGAAGATAACAGCCGGTTTTGGGTGAGTTGGCAATTTGATTATTGAGTTTGACGCCATATTGCCGTCCGCCATTTTGATTTCTTCTTCCCAGAGTTCCCTGCGGTCGGCCATCTTTATTTTTTACGGAAGTGACGCCATTTTAAGGAGTGATTCCTTCTCTGAGTAGTTACAACTCTTGTCTAATCTCAGTTTGATTGATATTCGAGAGTCGCGTCTGCTCCGAGAGGTCACTGCTCCGAGTTATTACCCCTCCAACCATTTTAAGAACAATTTTTCCTCCGAGTTACATTGGCTTTGAGTAGGTACGACTCTTGTCTAATCTCAGTTTGATTGATATTCGAGAGTCGTGTCTGCTCTGAGGACTGTCAGCTCTGAGTCATTACTACTCCATTTGCCCCGAGGATCGCCAGCTCCGAGTAATTATGGCTCTTGTCTAATCTCAGTTTGATTGATATTCAAGAGTCATATCTGCTCCGAGGACTCACTGCTCCGAGTCATTACTCCTCCATTGGCTCCGAGAATTGCCAGCTCCGAGTGATTACTCCTCCAATTATTTAAGTGTTATATCTCCTCTGAGTTATATTTGGTCCCAGTAGTTACAGCTCTGTCTAATCTCCGTTGTGATTGATATTCGAGAGTTGTATCTGCTCCGAGGATTGCCAGCTCCGAGTGATTACTCCTCCATCTAGTTGAGAGCCATACCTACTCTGAGGACTCACTGCTCCGAGTGCTTACTCCTCCATCTATTCTAGAGTGGAATCTGCTCCGAGGGTTGAGAATACAACTCCGTCTAATCTCAGTTTAATGATCGATATTCGTGAGTTGCTTCTTCTCCTCCTCCGAGTTATTGATGATCCGAAATTGATACAAGTTGCTGAACTTGATGTACCCTCCGAGGTGATTTGACTCCTCCAGAAGTTAGATACTGAGGTTACACTACCGGAACCAAGGTATTTCTGTGTTGCAAGCTTTATTCCATTGGAGCCAAGGTTACTCCACCGGAACTAAGGCACTCCCAGATCGAGAAGTAGCAGCTCTGGTCTAATCTCACCATCTGATTGACATTCCAGAGGTGTTATTTCTCTGTAGAGGGTGACGAGGTTTCTCCTGTGAAGTGGCGACTCCCCGAGCAGAAGATACTCCCGGAGCCTGGACCCCTTCCACGAGACAGTTTTATAGAGACGAGAAGACTCCTGGAGTGGAAGGTATTCCAATAGCTAGGGTCTTGTACAAAAGAAGAGGTTTCTCCTGTGAAGTGGCGACTCCCCGAGCAGAAGATACTCCCGGAGCCTGGACCCCTTCCACGAGACAGTTTTATAGAGACGAGAAGACTCCTGGAGTGGAAGGTATTCCAATAGCTAGGGTCTTGTACAAAAGAAGAGGTTTCTCCTGTGAAGTGGCGACTCCCCGAGCAGAAGATACTCCCGGAGCCTGGACCCCTTCCACGAGACAGTTTTATAGAGACGAGAAGACTCCTGGAGTGGAAGGTATTCCAATAGCTAGGGTCTTGTACAAAAGAAGAGGTTTCTCCTGTGAAGTGGCGACTCCCCGAGCAGAAGATACTCCCGGAGCCTGGATCCCTTCCACGAGACAGTTTTATAGAGACGAGAAGACTCCTGGAGTGGAAGGTATTCCAATAGCTAGGGTCTTGTACAAAAGAAGAGGTTTCTCCTGTGAAGTGGCGACTCCCCGAGCAGAAGATACTCCCGGAGCCTGGACCCCTTCCACGAGACAGTTTTATAGAGACAAAATAACTCCTTGAGCCAAGGTTACACTTCCGGAACCAAAACTCCTGGAGCCCTGATTCCTCCGAGGTGAAACGACTCTGAGGGACAGCACAGTGAAGATTCTTTGGAGCATTTATAACTTGGGTCTAATCTCAGTTTTGATTGACATTCCTGAGTTATTCCTCCTCCATAGATATCACATTGAAGCCGTGATATAGACAAGACGATACCTAGAGCAGAAGGACCTCCTAGAGGGTGAAGATAGTCATAGGAGCAGATCCTCCTCCTCTTACAATTATTTAAGAAGGAACAATTACAAAGACATTCAAGATCTATATAGACATTTTGAATTTATTTGTATTATTATTTTACATTGGAATAGAGTATAAAATCCCTGTATACTATTGTTATTTTGCCATCTTGAAAGGTAACTGCCGTACCACCAAATTAGGTCGGCACCCAAATACAACACCTCAAAGATCCCTTATATCGTCCCTGGCCTTTCCCTGAAGTTGAGATACAGGGTACTCCTTGGAAACGTCCCGGCGCGACAATATTCAATCAATTATACGAAAAGTAAGGCAAACTTTCTGAAGATACTATACAGTTCATTGGCAGAGTGATTGATTGCTGGTTTATGCGTTTGTGTCATTAACAAGCTGAAACCCTCTTACACGATAACAAATAGCAGATAGGTAACAAAAGCTAGTTTGTCAGAAGATCCAGGTAAATTGCACTCATGTAACTGATCAGGATTGTATAGTAACCTGAGGATATGTGAATAGTAATGATTAGACCCTCTGAATAGAACAACAAAACACACAGTGATGAATATTGCACTTTAAAAAGCAAAATGACCACCATGTAGTTTACCCAACATGCCAGATCTTGGTAGTAGTCTGCTCTTGCATCTGTAAACATTTGAAGTTGAACAAATAAGCAGTTTTCCTGGAATTTTGATGACATAATCTTCTACGACTACCCCACATACCCAGCAGCAGAAGACAACATAGGACTTTTTCAAATTGCATTAAAAATAAATATATAGTTTTGGTGCTGATGACACCTTGATATCACCAAATATGGGTGGTATAGCTTTTCAATATGAAATGAATTCGGTGACTTCAATTCTGATCAGATAGCTTGGTACTGATCGACCTGTCCTGATTGGCTGGATGGGGCAAGATAAAAAGAATATTATTTCAGAGTGTAGATGAAACTCTCTAATTTTATCAAACTATTGAAAAGGGTTAAATGGGTAGTGACTCACACACGAAATGTTACAAAAACCATGCTACAATTTGTCTTCTATTTCATAAACAACTCCACCCACATCTGTTCCTTTGGATAGCGTTAATGAAACCGGCTTTTGAGAGATCAACACTTGGTGTTTCTACATCCTTTTTAGTCAGAACTCCTGATATTTCAATAACAAGATACCTATCAACAATCTAATAAAAATAACTTGTACACCTACAACAAAGGGTTTGATGTACCAATTAGCGATACTGAAAGATATACAGGTTCAATGTTATGTAACATGATGGTGTCATCACGTGGCAAGTGGGCGAAACATGGCATGTGCGTGAAACTATGTATGTAAAGTATGTACCCCGGTTAATAGTTATGCATCACCAATGATATAATAACAGGTGAAAGTATAACAATGATACTGAATGGATCAAATAGTCTTTCTAAGGTGGCTTTTGGTAAAGTCATACCTGCAAACAGTGTAAAAACAATCAGTATGACATTTCGACCATGCCATCAACCCGACACTATGGCAATTTATGAACAACAGAACAGCTCAAGTTCAAACTAGAATCAGGATAGACTAAAAGTTCTTAGAACAGGGTTTCCACATTATACTATTGACTTTATTAACAAGAATTTAGTTTTAATTTCCAAGCTTTGATATAAAAGTCCCTGACATTTTTAGGATTTGATTCATCCTGTATCAGCATTTCCAGAATTCTGTGCAGACGGAATTTTCTTTTAGGTTTGGATAAAAAACAAGAAAACGAGCAGAATAAATATAGTTTTCAAATCAAATTAAATCAAACAAATTAAGCAAGGTTAAATGAAAGGATTTAATTCCAATTTATCTAACTTACAAGTAAATGAACCATCTCTCTTAGAAAAGCCTGTATGTAAGGAACATTTATGCCAAAATGGAGTGTGTTCCATATACACAGGCTTTTAACTTTGTAATATAGATGTAATTTAAAGGAGCAACACTTTATAAGCAGAGCATATCATACCTTCCCATATATTATGCAAGGCCTGGGGATTCCTGGCAATTACTTTATTCCACGAGGACCCGTCCTGGGAAACAACATCAACAT